CACAGAGTCAGACCATATCAATAGGTATATAATGCAATATTGTTAACTATAGTCAACATGCTGTGCGTTAGATCTCCAGAACTTACTCATCTGGCACGACTGGAACTTTGTGTCTCGGGTACGTGACATTTGCTAAGAGACTAGATCTTATGGGTTCTCACCACACATGTAAATAAAAATGGTAACCCTGTGAGATGATGGATGTGTGAGTAGCTCAAGGGTGATCATTTCAACATGTATACATATATCAAAACTTCAAGTTGTTTACCTTAATATATATAATTACCCAAAATTGCACTTTTTTTTTTTTTTTGAGACAGAGTCTTGCTCTTGTTGCCCAGGCTGGAGTACAGTGGCACAATCTCGGCTCACTGCAATCTCCAGCTCCTGGGTTCAAGCAATTCTCCTGCCTCAGCCTCCCGAGTAGCTGGGATTACAGGTGCCCACTAATTTTTGTATTTTTGGACAATGCCCCACTAATTTTTGCATTTTTAGTAGAGATGGGATTTCGCCATGTTGACCAGGCTGGTCTCAAACTCCTGACCTCAGATGATCTGCCTGCCTCGGCCTCCCAAAGTGCTGGGATCGCAGGCGTGAGCCACTGCACCCAGCCAAAAAATGCAGTTTCTAAAAAAAAAAATGCAGACGAACTCTTTTGGGATTCATTATTAGAACCTGATTTGAGTGGCAGTTCTAAGATTTTGTAAACCATACATTACCATTCTTATTGTTTTTTAATCCATTAAATATTTAATGTCTGTTAGAAGCAATGTAAAGAAGGAATATAAGGCCGAGACGGGTGGATCACGAGGTCAGGAGATCAAGACCATCCTGGCTAACACGGTGAAACCCCGTCTACTAAAAAATACAAAAAAAAACTAGCCGGGCGAGGTGGCGGACGCCTGTAGTCCCAGCTACTCGGGAGGCTGAGGCAGAATGGCATAAACCCGGGAGGCGGAGCTTGCAGTAAGCTGAGATCCGGCCACTGCACCCCAGCCTGGGCGACAGAGCGAGACTCCATCTCAAAAAAAAAAAAAGAAAGAATATAAAATACTCCCCTAACTATCATGTACTTTAAAACTTAGCTGGAAGATAATACTGTTGTTGCATGTCAAACAACTAGAAAATACAGCAATATTAACAATATCACTAATTTTAATAAGTTCTTTTTTTGAGAAGGAGTCTCACTCTGTCACCCAGGCTGGAGTACAGTGGCACAGTCTCAGCTCACTGCAACCTCCACCTTCTGGGTTCAAGTGATTCTCATGCCTCAGCCTCCTGAGTAGCTGGAACTGTAGACGCCTGCCACCACACCGGGCTAATTTTTTTTCTATTTTTAGTAGAGATGGGGTTTCACTGTATTGGCCAGGCTGGTCTCGAACTCTTGACCTCAAGTAATCTGTCTGCCTCAGCCTTGCAAAGTATTGGGATTATGGGGTGAGCCACCACGCCCAGCCTTAATAAGTTTTTGCTAGATACTAGGCACTATTTTAAGCACTTTAGATGCATTATATCACTTAATTACTAAAAACTGACTCTGAGGTTATTTCATTATTAATATCCCTGTCATGGAATTTGATCAAGGACACAATCAGTGGCAGAGCCAAGTATTAAGCCCAAATCTTTCTGACTATATACCTTACATTTATTATCACTGTATTAGAATTGTTACAGCATTTTGGATTTTTTTTTTTTTTTTTTTTTTGAGATAAGGTCTTGCTCTGTCACCCAGGCTGGAGTCTAGTGGTGTGATCATGACTCACTGCAGCCTCGACCTCCTGGACTCGCGCCGTTCTCCTCTGCCTCTTGGGTAGCTTGGATCACAGGCACGTACAACCATGCCCGGCTAATTTTTGTATTTTTTGGAAGAGACGGGGTCTCGCCATGTTGCCTAGGGAGGTCTTGAACTCCTGGGCTCAGACAATCCTCCTGCCTTGGCCTCCCAAAATGCTGGGACCACAGATGTGAGCCACTGCACCCAACCTGAACTGTTGTTTTTTAAGTTTTACGTAAGAGTTCTAAATTGATGACTAAATTAAAATGCATACACTTTTGATTTTGGGGCTTACACCAGGGGTGTCCACTCTTTTGGCTTCCCTCGGCCACATTGGAAGAAAAAAAATTGTCTGGGGCCATACATAAAATATGCTAACCATAGCTGATGAGCTAAAAAAAGAAATTGCCAAAAAAATAAATCTCATAATGTTTTAAGAAAGTTTATGAATTTGTGCTGGGCCGCATTCAAAGCCATCCTGAGCCGCATGCAGCCTGCAGGCCACAGGTCGGACAAGGTTGGTTTACACCTTAAAATTTAGGGTAATCAACACTTTGTATTTTGACATTATTTCTATAGACGAGAGTTATTTCTCACATCCTTTAGCTTTTGTTTAGCTTGTTATATTCATGTAACACTCAGATGGACACATGGTATTGTTCCGTGTGATTTGGGTACATGAGCCGAATCATTTCTCTCTTATTTCCCTGAGTTTCTGCGTGTAAACTTGATAATTGATGTATCAGACTCCAGAATGGGTTTACTTTTTGCATTATTGTACAGTTATTTCAAAGTTGACTTTGATCACATCTATATTGTTTTATATCTGATGAATAAGTATTGTAATTATCTTAAAATTTATAAAAGAAAAAATACTCATCCAACCAAATAAATAAACTTAGGACATTAGGAGTTTAATAGACATTGAGACTTCTACCAAGAAAGAAGCAAAATTGAAAGATAACTGAAAATACCGGGTCTTCTGTCTTGTCCCTTCTACCCTGCACAGCGCAGCGAGTAGTTCATAGGATAATCAGACAGAACGGCAGATGCACTCTGCTAGTGAAAGACACTGAAGATGTGACCCCAGGAAGTTCCAGTACAGTTATAAACTGCAGGTAGAGAAGATACAATCTCAGGAGGTTTGGACACCGGAATCACACAGCTTCTCTGTCCACAATGCAAGAAAGAGGATATGATGGAAGACCGTGGACTTTACAGTCAGGTGGAATCACGTTCAAATCAAAACTCAGCTCAGCAAAGGGAACCACTAATACTAGTTGGGTAATTTGAGTAGGTGACTCTTTTCTAGCTTTTGAAGGCTAAAAACTAGGGAGGGGCACTTCACACAGAAGGAACAGCACGCAGGCAGGCAGTAAAGATGTTCTCGGTTGTTCTGTCCAGTTCTTCATGTGTTTTGCACCTCTGCCGTTTGCCTCCAAGCCTCCTTTTGTTTCTATAACAACCTCCTCTCCCTTTTCTAAACCGCCCTTCCCCTGAGTATCTTGGCTTATTCTTCCACCGTCTCTTCCTGCTTTGGAATTGCTGCTCAGGAACTCAGCGCAGAAGGGGCAGGGGTGAAACTGATTGAACAGCAAGTGGAAGAAGAGTTTTGGGAGTGGTCGGTGGTGATGTTTCATAACAGTGTGAACGTACAGAATGCCACAGAACCGTATGCTTAGAAGTGGTTAAAATGTGGTTTCATTTTACCACAATAAAAGGAAGAAAGAAAAAAAGATTGTACAGAGAAAACTTGTCCTATGACTGAATTCATGAGTCTGATTTTTTAATGTGAAACTTAGTGCAGGTCAGTACTCCCTTTGCAAATAAGATCAGCTTCCTTCAGAGAAAGTTTGAATCAATAAAGAAAATAACAAAATACAATCATGGATCAATTCCCCAAGCGGTTTGGTCTACCTCAGTATTTCTTTCTCAACAATACCTATGAAAAGCCAACAGAATAAACTCTTTCACCTTTTAAGAAATAATTATAAACAAAATTTAGAACATTATACATTAGTCTCTGTTACTGAATTGTAAAAAATTACCATGTTATTGGATACTGTATTGCCTTGGCCAATTGGTTTATATATCCTTTTTTTTTAATTAAAATATTATTAAAATGGAGACAGGGTTTCACCATGTTGTCCAGACTGGTCTGGAACTCCTGAGCTCAAGCAGGTCATCCACCCGCCTTGGCCTCCCGAAGTGCTGGGACTACAGGCATGAGCCACTGTGCCCAGCCTACATATCTTTTTTTAAAACTTTATATTCTTTACTAATTGGTTTTCAAACTTCTTAACAGTAAAAGCTTTTTTTCTCCAAATTAAATGTTATGCAGAATCTTTAGTATATAAAACAGACAATGCAGAAAGCATAGCTGGGCTAGTAGAAATTAGCAGGGGAAGACCTGAGGGCCCTCCCTGCTGGCCTTTCCCCAGTGGCCCACCAGCCCTTGAGGCACTACTGCAAAGGAGGCAGGGTGAAAAGCGCTGCTCTACCACGCACATGTGGAGAATCTGTGGTAGCTTCCATATGTGTGTGGTCAGTCCTAGGTTTTAACACTAGGTTCTTAGCATTATAACTCCCATTACGTCATATCTATGAGAAAATCAGGTTTAATGTATTTTATTTCAACTTACAGCACCTTTCCTAAGACTAACCTGGCACAAAAGAATCAGTCCTCTAGCAAGCTTGTCTAACCCACCTGATTTTGTTGTTTGTTGTTCTGTTTTAGGCTTTTAGCAACCTGAAGCCATGGTTTTTAGTTTCTGTCTCTAGCGATACGCAGGAAAGAGAGATGAGGAAGGGGCTTTACTAGCCCAACCAGAAACAGAAACTAACAACCCGTGACTGTATTCTCTCCATTGGACACCCCTGGATAAACTGTTATATCATAGTGGTTTGGTGAGCTGTGGGATAGGCAAAAACCCTTGGATTTTTATGAAATTAAATTATCTGAAATATGTTTTTCACATGGTATGTCAGGAATGATTTAAAATCTTTTGGCCGGATGTGGTGGGTCTTGCCTGTAATCCCAGCTACTTAAGAGACTGAGATGGGAGGATCCCTTAAGCCCAGGAGTTCCAGGCCAACCTGGGTGACAGAGTAAGATCTTATGTCTTAAAAAAGGAGAGAAAGTGAGTGTCACGCACTAGAATGTATTGCCTTGTTAAAAATGATTGCTGTTTAACCTTGGCTTTCAAATTGACTGTCTTTATTGAAGGCTTTATTGAAAAGGCTTGAGGCTGTGAAACCAACAGTAGGTATGAAACGCTCAGATCAACTGATGGACTATCATCGCAATATGGGCTATCTCAGCTCATCACCACTGTCAAGACGAGCCAGATCCACTCTCGGCCAATACAGCCCATTAAGTAAGCAGGACAAAATAGATCAAAATTATTTTATATTTGTTTGTATCTTGTATCCATTTTTTTTAAAAATGTAACTTATGTTATTCTGATAGAGTTTTAAATGCCAGCACTGGAGTGCATTCTGTTATTTCTCATTGTCATGTTTTGTTTTATTTGTATTAGTTCACTTAATTTCAGGTTTCATTTACAGCCTATAATGACAGGAAGGAAGCCAGGAGATAAAACAATCGAAAATATCAGTAGGTTCTTAGGTAATTGAGGAAGTACTTTTAATTGTAAAGTTGATTGAGGGAAGAAATGCATAGATGGGCTGTTTAAAAGCTGCTGAAACGTTCTCCCTAGGTAGTTAAGAATTATTGCTAATAGACTCCAGCCCTTATATGTGCTTTTTTTTTACTTACTGGATAACTAAAACAAAAATTAGCAAACTGATCACACAGCAAGCCTTACCACTCTACAGTAAGCAGTAAGGCTTGTTGTGTGATCAGTTACAGACCTAGCCAATTGTGTGTCCCAGAGAGTACAGGAATGGAGTGACCATTCAGTGCCGGAGTGTGCAACAGCTAGAACGCTCAGTGTCCTTTACAGAAGTTATATTGTACTTGATGTATGCATTCTAAACTACGTAATAAATAGAAGGTAACACCGAACCACTCGATGCCACAGCTTCCCAGCGCCTGCCCCGTGTGAGTCTCCGACTCTCATGACTAGTGGTTCCATTTATTCCTTCTCCGAACCTTGCTTCCGTGGTATAGTGACGAAGACAGGGTCTTGTTTTAGTAAGTCGTACTCAGCACTGCCCCTAAATGTAGTATATAAATGGTTATACGAAGGGATTTTTTTCACATGAATTATTTGAGAAGCTTTTACAAATGTTTGTTTTCCATGCCAGTCCAGTGAATCAGAATCCCCTGGGGTGGCATCTGGGTGTGTTTGTTACTATATTTTTTGAGTTCCACAGGGAATTCTGAAGTGCATTCCTAGTCGAGAATCATTGCATTAGACTATTAGACACACATAGAATGTGGAAGAAAAACTAGTCTGGGCCGGGCGCGGTGGCTCAAGCCTGTAATCCCAGCACTTTGGGAGGCCGAGACGGGCGGATCACGAGGTCAGGAGATCAAGACCGTCCTGGCTAACCCGGTGAAACCCCGTCTCTAGTAAAAAAAAAAAAAATACAAAAAAATAGCCGGGCGAGGTGGCGAGCGTCTGTAGTCCCAGCTACTCGGGAGGCTGAGGCAGGAGAATGGCGGGAACCCGGGAGGCGGAGCTTGCAGTGAGCCGAGATCCGGCCACTGTACTCCAGCCTGGGCGACAGAGCGAGACTCTGTCTCAACAAAAAAAAAAAAAAAAAAAAAAAAAAAAGAAAAACTAGTCTGG